TTCAAAAAATCGGCCTACATTCATTCAGTGGCTGTAATCGACAAAATAGATATTACATCAATTTGGCGCATGCTATTATAATAATTACAACGTAGCCAACATAGCTGCGTATTCGATTTACTTCTGCTGCAACAAAATTGATCACGACTGTCAGTACTTGAGATTTAAGAAATATTTTATTTACCAGTGCTTACTACTTTATGTTAACCTTATTGTTATAACAATGTAAGTTTTAATGATCCTCTGTTACGCATGTGCAGACTGTACAATAATTGTAATGAATTGGACATTTTTGCTTATAGTTTAAATTCTTTTATTAAAATGGCAAAAGAAGTGTCTGAATTTTATATGTAATTGTTCTCATTCTCTATTGTATATAATATTGGAACTAGTATAAGCTAACGCTGTGCGTAGCAACTAACGGTGTACAATTTTAAAACAATTACTTAGTTATAAAGTTTATTATAGTCAATGTAATGTGAATTGTGTTACTGTTGCTGTGCCTAAATGAATAAATAAATAAATAAGTAGTTAATATATCCGAGATAAAAAACCTCGGATATATTAACTACTGGCGTGTATTTCGACATAGAATAGGCCATCCCTTCCTTTTCCTGTGGGTGTCGTAGGCGACTAAGGAAGGACGTAAGATGGGTAGCAGCGTCCCTCTTAAAATATCTTTTAAAGCCCTGACTACGGTTGCCAATCGGCCTGCCAAGTATATCAAATACTAGTAAAACTCCCTAAAGGGAGGCTTATGTTCAGCAGTGATGATTATAAAATTGTCATTTTTTCATTGTAAATAAAAAACTATTCGAAGGTTAATACTATATTTTATTAGGTAACTAATTTCCCTCTAAGATTGAGGAAAGTAGAAGGCGAAATACTACGAGGGGGGATCGCCAGTAGTTGCCACGCTTGGCAGATGGATTAGCAACCGCAGTTAGCTTTAGCAGACATTGAAGATGTTTTAAGAGGGACGCTGCTGCCCATCCCTCGCCCTCCATTAATCGCCTCTTACGACACCCACGGAAAAGGGGTGGCCTATTTTATATCGATTCTATACAGAATAGGTGCTACAATCAGTGGATAGCTAAGTACTTTCAAATGCAATAAAAAAAAGTTAAAAAAGAATAAATAGTGATTTACAAAAAGAATGCCTATTTTCTTTAAAACCCCCCACAGGCACTTAGATAAAAGACAGTGAATGGTTTTTTTTTGTATTTATTACAAAATTGAGAGGTGTTGATACAGAGTGATTAAAACTAAAATAAGCGGATTTCGTAACATTAGTGGGTCTTTAGTATCTACAGTATAATGTTTTCTTGTGAATCTATAGAAAGAAAATCATTAAAAAAATAAATCCTTATTAATGCATGCATGCCTGTATGCATAATAAATATTATATATTATAAATATTAAAATGTAAAATTGAGTCTGTTTGTTTGTTACTTCTTGGGGTCTTAACGACTTAACCAATCATTATGAGATTTACTATACAGGTACTATACGGAATAGAAAAGTATAAATAAATTTTTTTGGTCAATGAACATATCCTAGTCACGCGGACGATGTCGTAGGTAAAATTTAGTATTTAATAAGTTTTTCTTTTGAATACTTAATTAATAGTTTGCAAAAAAATAAACTAAATAAGATCCCTCTTATTTTTGGAAGTCGGTCAAAAATAAACAAAAGTTTGCTTCGATTGTGGATCACCATCATTACAACCTATTCATTGTGCACTGCTGGCAATAAGTCTCTCTTATGTTATTACATAAAATACGTTCCTATGCTGTTTACGTCTAGTAACTTCCTGTAATCCTCTTGAGACCATTGCTAGCAATATGCCTAGTCATGTCAACCTCAACACGATTTACCCTTGAAACTTACTTGGTTGAGGAAAGGGATTTTTTGTAATGCGGACTACCAGTCCTATTGTTAGCAATATACTTTGTCAGGTCGACCTCCACGTGGTTCCTCGTGGAAACCATCGTGTAAGAATTCCAGGCGTATTCATCACAGTGGGCAAAGAGGTCTGATTTTTCATCATCACCTATCATCCCTCACTGGTGCCCCGCCAACGTATACCGTTAGCACAGGCGGTAACCCTGCCTGTGGTAATTTCATTTCATTATCATCCATAAAAAAAAACTATCATGGTTTATTCTTGATTAATTCATCATGATGGGATTTCTGACCTATTTTTATCCTCACCAATCATCCCGTATTAGTGCCCCGCCAGATTATACCAATAATGCAGGTGGCGTTATCATTCCATTATCATCTATTAAAAGAAATCCTCTCGAGATCTTTACTCCATCTCGCGGTGAGTCGATTGTGGTATAAAACACAGAAAAAAAATTATAATATTTTATGTACCATATAAAATGTAATCATTCCTAAAACCTCTTTTATTACCGCCGTCTGTTTGCCTAACTCGAACACTCAACGGATTAATTTTTTCGAGCCCTCCGTCGCTGACCGAAAGCTAACAAAACTGATTTGCATTTTGCAACTGCACCCCGCTAATGGTTTTGCAACCATGTTGATTAGAAACCGATTTGAAGTCAAGGAAACCTTTTTTACTTTTAATTTTTATATATATAAAAAAAATTAATACCGATGCAGTGACTCAGTAATATCTATGACGTTGTTTCGGCGAATATTTTCTATTTTGCGTCAGATGGGCCGAATCAAGTTTTTATAATATTCTCGCCGTAAGGTTCCGGCATAGAATAGGCCACCTCTTTCTTTCCCATGGGAGTCATATAAGGCGACTAAGGGATGGCAGGGGATGGGCAGCAACATCCCTCTTAAAACATCATCAAAGCCTAACTGCAGTTGCCAATCCACTTGCCAAGCGTGGCAACTACTGGCAAAACTCCCTAAGAGGGACGCTTATATTCAGCTACGGACAGTTAAAGGCTGGTATAATGATTATGATGATGATAGTAATATTTTAATAAAAAATAACTTCATTTTAATATACGGTCTTAGCTTAAAAACTATTAAAATAGTAGATTATGCCCAATTATGGTACAAACACCCTTCCCACACAGAATACTTTACCAGACGGAGACTTTGTACAAAAGTCGATTGCTTGGGTACCTCTGTTCCATTCGTGTTTCTACCGTGAAGCAGTTGTGTTTCGGTTTGAAGGGTGGGATATGGCGTGAATTTACAGGGTACGGAGGAATAACACCTGAGTCCTCAGGAATGACAACGCATAGAGGGTATCATGGGCGAAACAGTATACTCTGTTATGTCCATGGTACTGCTCATGTCTATAGGAGACGGTTACCACTTTCCATCAGGTGGGCCGTCAGCTTGTTTGCCATTCTAAGTTGTATAAAAAAAAAACTATGGATGAGAATAAATGGAAACAATTTTTTTTTCTAAATATACAGTTAATGTAATTACGTTCAAGGATTTTCATAAATAAACATACTAACATGAAAATTGCTTACTTAATTGCCTTTTAACGACAATAGCTTAAACGAAATCATTGTAAATAAGTCTTAAAATAGAATGTTTTAACGAATAAATATATATTACTCAATATATAATATTATTATATTATTTAAAGCTTAAATTAATTATATTAATGTTTGGAATTAAATAAAATTATAATTAACTGAAAATGTCATCCTGACCTCTCCAAAAATATAACACAAACGTCCAACTTATTTATACATTATTCGATATATTAGTTTTTAATATTACTCAACTTGGAATTGTAAATATGTTGAAGAAGTTATTCAAAATAATTGAGATTCCATAAAACGAGGTACCAGAGGGAGACTTTGTACAAAAGTCGATTACTTAGGTACCTCTGTCCCATTTGAGTTTCTACCGTGAAGCAGTTGTGTTTGCATGGCTGTGTTTCGGTTTGAAGGGTGGGATATGGCGCGAATTTACAGGGTACAGAAGAATAACACCTGAGTTTTCAGGAATGGCAACGCATGGGGAGTATCATGGACGAAACAGTACACTCTGTTATGTCCATAGTACTGCTCTTGTCTATAGACGACGGTAATCACTTTCCATCAGGTGGGCCGTATATATGCAGCTTATGTTACTCGCTGATACTGTAGCTTTGTATAAGTGAATGAATTTTTAAAATCGTTCAAGTACTTTTTAAGTTTATCAATAACAAATAAACAATCATATATTAAAAAAAAGGCCGGCAACACACCTGCAATGCCGCTGGTGTTGTGGGTGACCATGGGCGGCGGTAGTCACTTACCATCAGGTGAGCCGCATGCTCGTTTGCCCCCTGTTGTAAAAAAAAAATATAAAATACGGATTTGAATATGCGAATCTAATATTTACTATTATTATAAATAACCAATGGGGAAAAAAGGTTCTTAATTGACGTCTTCGTAGAGGCAAACGCAGTGTAGGACAACCCCACACTAGATGGAGTGACGACCTCATATGCATTGCAGGGTGTTAATAGATGCAGGTGGCTCAGAACCCTTCTTTAAGGCAGTCTATGGTGGAGGCTATGTCCAGCAGTGGACAGATGATGATAAATATAAAATTTGATTTGCCTATTATCTTGTACTGCCTTAACAACTCAATCAATTGTCAAAAATACCGAAGCTCGCACAGATAGTTTTGACGCAGTCTAGCGTAAAAAGACAGCTTCGTTTTTACATAGAACACGCGGCAGTGGCAACACTATCCTGAACATGTCTGTAAATAAATTAGATAGTCCTATCGTGGGAATACTCGCCGAGATGACTAGATCATTATTAGTGATTAAGTATTAACATAGTTTTTAAGTATACTTACTAACAAAAATGGATCCAAGTTTTCAAAAATAAATAAAATAAATTAAATAAAAATTTGTATTAACGATGTAGAAGGACATATGTTATACTTCACATATTCCGGTCACGCAGACGCGCTCGTCGGTAAAAACTAATTCTGAATAACAAAAAATACTAGTTCCTTAGTATCTAAATAAGTTTTTCAAATCCTGAATGAAGTCCGAAGACTCAAGGTCTATGTCAGACAGGTCATGCTTGTAACGGAGGGCCATGAAATCAAACTATAAATGGCACAAAGAGAAACGCGCGACTCATTTTATCTCAGTCTGGATTAGCCGACATGTGTGCGAGACAGGTCAGTTTATTGTTATCTTAGAACCACCAATATTAGAGTTCAAATTCGTTTACACTATATACAATTTAGTGCACGTTTCGCAGTGGCCGTAGACATAAAAATTTTAATATTGCCCGAAGGACGTTTGTGTTTGTGAATTTATTTGACGTAGAAGTTTTACACAGTGTACGTAAGTACCTAGGTAATAAAAGATTGTGTTTAAAAAAAATCCGACTGTAATTGTAGTAAAACCAGTTACTTTGACATTAAAACTAAACTATTTATCTGACTTTGATCATTTTTTATATGACCAATCTGTAAGTACATCCTTTCAGATAAAAAAAATATTTTTTTCAAATCGGTTTACCACTGACTGAGTTATGAGGTAACAAATGTAAAAAAAGAACCAAGCGAATTGAAAAATCTTCACCTTTTTGAAGTCGTTTAAAAATTGATATTAAATAAATGATAGAAGAAAAGAAAGTTGATAACTAAAGAAAGTTTTAAGAAACTTTATTGCTAATTTATATGTTTATTTGCCATCAAACTACTAAGTAAACTATATACCGACATAATTATAATGAATATATACTTTATATACCATCAATGGCATATAAAGAATATTATATTAATAATCAAATTAATAAATAAATTAAAATTAAATGAATATTTTAATTTAGATTTTCTAAAAACTTTCCTGGTTTTTTTTTTTATAATATACTTATTTATTAAGACAGTAAATTACCCAAGATTTAATCATGCACAACCGAAATTTTAAATTTATTGTCCACCGATTAACATTAATCTATGTATACTGATTTAAAATAAAATTTAGTATAATTGTAAATGAAAACATAAATTAATATGATAATTTAAAACCAATTTTTTTGTGAACAAAGTCGCGAAACATAGCTAGCATAATGTAAATACTAAAATTAAACATTTGACATTATATGCCACAATATTATTTTACTATTCCACAGTTTATGTTACTTACAAGTATTTTCAAGGCTCGAGAAGGCCATATTCTCATATTGCATTATGCACCCTGTGGCTTAATTTATAAAAGTGAATAATGTTTAAAATAAATGACGTCAAATTAAGTAAAGTAATGTATACTTGTTGAAAAAAAAAAGCACTTATAGTACCTACTGCTATAGCTTGCTTACTAAGTCAAGATCAAGTTCAACTGGTTAGCATGACGCGTCCACCATTCACATGACAATTGTTTGTATGTGGGACATTGCCATTTACAGAACCTAGATAGCTAGTATTTATACTATTTACTCTATACTCTTTTGTTAGAAAGGTGCATCTACTCGATTGACGAATTTTAGAATACTCTTTTAACATTTTATGCCTTACTAATGACATTTGTAAATTGATTGTAATGTAATTTTTGACAATTATTATTGGTTATTTTATTGCTTCATATTTTTTTTGTTTTGTTGTATTTTATGATATCTTCTTGTTACTTATAAAAAATATTTAACACAATGTAGTATTGTAGCTAATAAATAAATTGAATTGAATTGAATATTACTAGCGATATATCCCAACTTTGTGTTTTACCAGAGAGAGACTTTGTACAAAAGTCGATTGCTTGAGTGCCTCTGCCCCATTCGTGTTTCTACCGTAAAGCAGTTGTGTTTGCATAGCTGTGTTTCGGTTTAAAGGATAGGATATGGCGTGAATTTACAGGGTACAGAAGAATAACACTTGAGTCCTCAGGAATAGCAACGCATGGGGGGTATCGTGGACGAAACAGTACACTCTGTTATGTCCATGGTACTGCTCATGTTACCACTATCCATCAGGTGAACCGTCAGTTTGTTTTCCATCCTAAGTTGCATAAAACAAATACGAATATAGCAAGAAACTATATAATGTGAGATTATTTAGATTCGACTTTCTCACGACTAATTCCAATTCCAAGGTCTGATTCATCAAAAAACTGACATGTTCCGCTTCACTTCCCAGCTATCATAATGAGAAAATGTTGCCAGATTACTTAATACACATTCCACAAACTCAATCGACAGTTTGATTACTTATCGTTCTAATACGTAATAATACGTTCGTTGCAAACTAGCAGTATTTTAAAAAAAAACTTCAATTGAGACAAAATCAATATGACAATCATCAGTCTTTAACTGTCCACTGCTGAACATAAGCCTCTCCTTTGGGGGGTTTTGCCAGCAGTTGCCACGCTTAGCAGGCGAATTGGCAACCGCCGTCAGGCTTTAGAGATGTTCAAAGAGGGACGCTGCTGCCTATCCCTCGACCTTCCTCAGGTAAGGAAGTGGTGGCCTATTCTATGCCCGGACTACTCGGCCAATATGATAATAAGAAGGAAATAAACCACAGGAAGGCTTTACATAAAAGTCATCGTCTGTATGGGTACTTCTGTCACACTGAACTGACTGATTAAAGTAGTTTTTGGATACTTTGTTTCAGTTTGAAGGAAGACATGGCATTGAAATTATGGGATACAGAGGCATAACAACTTAGCCCTCAGGAATCGTATCGCGTGAGGGGGTGCCTTGGGCATAAAAGTGCATTCAGTAAAGTTCATAGTATTGTTCATGTCTATAAGAGACTGTCATTACTTTCCATCAGGTAGGCTGTCAGTTTGCCATTCTAACTATCATAAAATAAATAAATAGTTCAGGATTGGTTTTCTTTATTGGATGATAATGAAATGATAACCGCGCCTGCGCTATCGGTATACACTGGCGGGATACCAGTGAGGGATGATTGGTGAGGATGAAAAAGCAGATCAATTAACCTATCGTGACGAATTTAACAATAAATTAGTCACGATGGTTGTCAGAGGGAACTGCGTGGAGGTCGACCTGATAGGATATATCGATAGCATTGAGGACTAACCTCCCTATTTCTAATAGTCCCTTCCCCCCTTTCAGAATAGGTTAGGTTCAACGTCGATCATATGACATACCTGTAGTAGCAAAAAAATCAAGTGAATTGTTCAAAAGAAGAGCCTTTTAGAAGGTACTTAAAATTCAATCCGAAGTGTAAAACAATTTTACTCTACTTTACTGATGGCTTTCATTTAACAATAAGTCTATTATAAATTATGGATTACTATGAAGGCTACTTTATAATGCCAGACATAACTGGAACAACAGCTGACTTATTGTAACATGTCAGCATGACCTTTCCATGTACAAAGCCAGGCCATAACATATCAAGCTCAGTCGATAATGACCTTCATTATTGCAGTCTTGTCAATAATACCTACGCATAGACATACATAACAAGGCTCTTAATTGTTCTGGCCAAGTGTAAGTAGAATCTGTGCTCTAAGTATTTCAATGTCATCATCATTATTTTTTTTATGAAACTTAAAATGGCAAAGCTGCAGACCCACCTGATGGAAAGTGGTAACCGTCGCCTGTAGACATGAGCAGTACCATGAACATAACATGATACCTCCCATGATACCTCCCATGCGTTGTCATTCCTGAGGACTAAGGTGTTTTACCTCTGTACCCTATAAATTCACTGTCATATCCCACACTTCAAACCGAAACACAGCCATACAAACACAACTGTTTCACGGTAGAAACACGAGACAGAGGTAGCCAAGCAAACAAATTTTAGTTTGTACAAAATTCGTTTGCGTTTAATCTTCTTCTGGTATTTGTTTGTCTATTCTTATCACTTGTTATCGGTGTGCTGTAAGTAATGCAAATAAATAATATATCTATTTTTCTATCTATAATAATAATAGGATCTTTTGTCCTCTATATATATATATATATATATATATATATATATATATATATATATATATATATATATATCTATAATATATACGTATGTATACGTGTATATTATTCATAGCTTATATTAATTATTTTTGCTATAACAAGGCGGTATCTAAATTTTATGTTGCTCAAACAGATCATCAAAGCAATTCGATTCGCACTATCAAGGATTTTCCGTATGAAGTCTTCGAAAATTAATATCCGCGTGTCGAAGTTTTGTCTCGTGTTAAGAACGTGTTTTATTTGAGTTCTATAAAAAATATAATAATATATTGATAGAGCATCGAGAGTTGAAAACAGATCAAAATTTAGTCAACTCATTTGACATTTGGCTGAATAAATTAGATACTACATGGTCCTATTTTGTTGGTCTAATAATGCCTTCTATAGGACATTTTAACCTCAAAATGAAAAGCATTAAATTTTATTAATTTAATTAATTAATAATTAATGCGGACTACCAGCCCCTTTGCTCCCAGTCCTCCTCTATGTGGCCCTTCCCGGTAACCGTCATGCTGAATTTCAGTTATACTCATCACGATGGGCTAACTGACCTGTCCTTTTATTTTCACTAACCATCCTTCACTGGTGCCCAGCCAGCGTATACCGTTAGCACAGATGGAGTTACCATTCCATTATCATCCATTAAAAAAATGATGTTAACAAAAAAAACCTATTTTCACATTTTATAATATAATTTAAAACTTAGTACTTGCTTAGCAATAAGATCGCCTTTTGTACTACACTATACTTATTGAAAATTCTCCTACAAGTCTTGTAATATTGGTGCAATAAAGTGCTAAATAAATAAATACAATTTAATATTTTGTATTAACTTGTTGCTATTTATTAATTTAGATCAATTTGATAATTTCCAGCTCGTAGTGCTGTTGTGTACGCTGGGTATACTGCTGGCATCAGCTTCCCCTCTCCCGGATAGCGCTGGAAGCCCTCCTTTACCTGGACCAGGATTATCTTACGGTAAGTTAAATGCTACAAAAAAATCTGAGATTTATTATATTATATTTTTTTTATACTACTTAGAATGGCAAACAAGCTGACGGCCCACCTGATGTAAAGTGGTAACCGTCGCCTATAGACATGAGCAATAACATGGACATAACAGAGTATACTGTTTCGCCCATGATACCCCCCATGCGTTGCCAATCCTGAGGACTCAGGTGTCATTCCTCTGTACCCAGTAAATACATACCATATTCTACCCTTCAAACCGAAACACAGCCATGCAAACACAATTGCTTCACGGTTGAAACACGAATGGGACAGAGGTACCCAAACAATCGACTTTTGTACAAAGTCTCCCTCTGGTGTATTATTATATCAGCCATTGGACAGTCAATGTTTACTGAACATAGGCCTTCCCCATAAGGGAAGTTTTGCCAGTAACTGCCACGCTTGGCAGGCGGATTGGCAATCGTAGTTAGTCTTTGGTGATGTTTTAAAGGAGACGCTGCTGCCCATCCCTCGACCATTAAATTCGCTTAGTCGCCTCTTACGACACCCACGGAAAAATAAGTGGTGGCCCATTCTATGCCGGGACCACACAGCGTATCCTCGTAATCCTTAATAATACTATAATTGTAATAGAGAGTTTTTTTTTTTGTTTTACTTTTGAGCGCCAAATCCTATAAAATTTAGTGTACAAGTACTATATAGGATGGGGAAGGACATAAGCTACTTTTTATCTCGGTCAGTAACCATTTTTTATACAACTTAGAATGGCAAACAAGCTGACGGTCCACCTGATAGAAAGTGGTAACCGTCGTCTATAGACATGAGCAGTACCATGGACATAACAGAGTATACTGTTTCGCCCATGATACCCCCCATGCGTTGCCATTCCTGAGGATTCAGGTGTTATTCCTCTGTACCCTGTAAATTCACGCCTTCAAACTGAAACACAGCCATGCAAACACAACTGCTCCACGGTTGAACACACACCATATCCCGGTCACGCGAACTAAGTCGCGGTTAAAAGCTAGTAGAAAATATAATGATCATCACTGTTATTGTTTTCAGGTGGCATACCATACGGCAGCATGAGTGGTAATGTGGCAGAGTATTTCAAACGTCAAGCGCCATCTGTTGGACGAGCGCGGAACTTAGCCGATTCTTCTGCGACTGATATTGATTTCGCTCCTATTGAACAATGGCTATGATAGATGGCGTTAGTTTGTTGTATAAACACGCGTCTAAATAACTAAATTATATTATTTACATTTATATAATGAGATTTTATTTGTTTATTAAAATATTTTTATAGGTACATAATAATTAAATAAATAATAATTAAACAGATTTGTTTATGGAAATTATTGTCTATTGGTGGATAAATTAACAGCTGAAATGATGATGATCACCATCATAAGAATAATGAGACCGTTTTTGTGCATAGAATATTTAAAACAAAAATACTAATTCTACCCTAAGTTACTGACTTAAACTATAAAATAAAAAGTATGTAGGTAATATTTTTTTTAATACTTTTGTCTGTCTTTCTCTTTGTTTATGTATGTATCGTGCAAAATTACTAAATTGTATTTAGTAAAATTTTGTGCATTGATAATATATGGAACTGGGGGGAAAAGGATTGTTAGCAATGGAGTTTGACAGCCCCATTGCTAGCAATATGCCTTATTAGGTCGACTTCCACTTAGTTTCCCCTGGAAACCATCGTGAACAATTCTTATTGAATTCGTCACGATGGGCTAACTGACCTGCTTCATCCTCACCTATCATCCTTCACTGGTGCCCCGCCGGTGTATACCGATAGCGCGGGTAAGGCTAACATTCAAAGACAATGTACACGCACAACGTCGGGATAATAGCTAGTACGATATTTATCCTCCAACTCATTATGAAACAAGTAACTAGATATGGTACCATAGTGCCCATTGTTGTACACGTATGCCTCCCACGATTGTCGTGGAATTAAATAGGTGTTCCGAGATATTGTTTATGTTGGACCTGTTTTTTTTTTGACATCGATTGGAACAATAACAAAGGTAAGTACTTAAATCACAAATCAATATAAATCTGCTATAAATATCCTATATTATCACATATAAAATGCTACAAAAAGGATATAGTGTACTTTATATACTGATTCAGGCAAGTGAATCCGCGAGATACCGCTAGTTATATTTATATAGATAGATAGATAGATACTCTTTATTGTTTCCTCCAAAAGATTACAATAGTATATTTATTGTCTTGGCTCAAACAATCGGTATGAGTTTTTTCCCAATAATGGGTGATAATGAAATGGTAACCACACCCGTGCTAATGGCAGGATATCAGCAAAGATGAAATAATAGGTTAATTAACCCATAGGAGGATGCTCTCTTACATCCTAGGCAATAAAATCATGGATAAAATCATCATCATTACAATGTAATAATTACGCTAGGATTGGCAGATAAATAAATAAAACGCACTACCAGTAAATAAACACCTTACCCGCTGACATTGATGCCGCTTTCCTCTTTGTGTACGCTGGAAGAGAAAAGCTTGTCTTTTGTACATTTGCTTACCACTGCTATGTTTCTGTATGTATTATTAGTATGTATATAAACAAATAAGCATAAGTAAATACAACATCCATAACATCTCAACTCGGGGGGGGGGGGGGGATTGTTAGTAATGCGGATTATCAATCTCATTGCTAGCAATGTACTCTGTCAGGTTGACCTCCATGTGGACCTCCCCTAAGACCAAGCTCAATTACTAGTATATTCATCACGTTTGGCTAACTGACCTACCTTTTCATTCTCACTTATCATCTCTCACTGGTGCTCCACTAGCGTATACCGTTAGCGCAGGCGGGGTTACCATTCCAATAATATCCATAAAAAATTCTGTTTCCAGTTAGTCTCATTATTTTTGCAATCAATATGGATTACTTCTGTATTGGATTTATACCAACCTTTCCACTTAATATTAAAAATCATACCTACAAGTTGCTTACAGAATAAATAGAGAGGGAGACATTGTACAAAAGTCGATTGCTTGGGTACCTCTGTCCCATTCGTGTTTCTACCGTGAAGCAGTTGTGTTTGCATGGCTGTGTTTCGGTTTGAAGGGTGGGATGTGGCGTGAATTTACTGAGTACGGAGGAATATCACCTGAGTCCTCAGGTATGGCAACGCATGAGGGGTATCATGGGCGAAACAGTATACTCTGTTATGTCCATGCTACTGCTCATGTCTATAGGCGACGGTTACCGCTTTCCATCAGGTGGGCCGTCAGCTTGTTTGACATTCTAAGTTGTATATAAAAAAAAAAACACTATTAAATTGACCCACTTCTAGTGATTATAAATAAAAATCTCTTTCTATACGCACGTCAACAAGTTAAAAGGGAACAAAAACCTCTGTCAAGTGTTTTTGTCCCCTAATGACATAACATAACAGTCAGTGGGCCATCGTCACGGTCGGAGGCACCCCGTCCGTAGAATTAAACCCATATACCTACTTGCAGTGTGCAATTCGTTGACATTATAGTCATTGGGCAGCAAGTGGGTCATTGCACAAACTTGTGACGCTGCAATATTGTTTGGGAATGATTTCGATGTATCAATACAATCATCATTAATTACGGAAACTTAAAATTTGCTAGGTGAAAGGGGTTTAATGAAATATCACAAAACTCCAAACCTATTGTAAAGAGATTTATAAAAAAATCTACATTGTAGACAATTTGCACTTAGAACTTTGTCTTTGAAAGATAAAACTGTGAAAAAAATTTAGTTGTAAATTATTTTTGCATATATTATACGGAACCTAACGTTCTTTAACAACTCTTGATAGTAATAGATAATATATGATACCTGTAATTTAAAAAAAAAAATAAAAATAAAAAAATAATCTCTACAGACTAGATACTTGCATGAATTGCTAAACCAACGGTTCCAAAATAGGATTATGGCAACTACAATTTGGGTTTTGGTGATGTTTAAAAAGAAACGCTGCTGCTCATCCCTCCACTATCCTTCTCTTAGTCGCCTCTTACGACACCAACGGGAAAGGAATGGGTGGCCTATTCTATGCCGGAATACAGCATGTATAGTGTAAATGACAATTTGTTATACACAATTCTTATCTCGATTCTGAAAATGAATAGTTGATATTCTATTTAATTTAAATATTCTACACTATGTACGACTCTCTTGACAAATACATACTGTAAACCATTCAATTTTAGAACAAATAAGATACGAGTAATGAAATTCATTCTATATTTTTAACAGGGCAGCGTAAGGAAGTCGAGATTGTGAATAAAGCATTAGAAATTTACTTTGCATTAGTTTGGAATCAACGAATTCTGCATAGACGCTATTGCTACTCTTGTAAGGGCTCGGTGTCGAGAATTTCTGGGTGCCCTTGATTATACAAGGACCTTGATTTTTTTGTTTGTAATAAATAAATAAAAAAATATATATATTCAAATTCTCTTACCAGCAGAAAGTTACAATACCAACGTGTAACATGAGCTTTATTTAATAAAAAAAAAATAGTACCATTCTAAATCAGGCGATTATATCGATTCTGAAATTATACATTTCTCCAAATAATCCTGTCGACACATGTTACATGTCCATTTGGGCAATACGCCGATTCATCATGGTCCAATGTCATAATCTGTGACATAAGGTAATTACATGGCCGCCAAGACAATCGGCAGCCGGCAGTGACGCCGCCACTTCGATTCACCATTCGATTTGGTTGCCGTTTATTGAAATGTACAAACGATTGTTGTCTGCTTAGATGATTTGTAATGGTGTATCTAATAAAGGATAGTAGATTTAAAAGTAACTCTAGCATTTAGAAATTATGATTTTTTTTTTATTTTATTTCTATAGGTACACATTACGGAGAATTAACATGATTACATTAATTTATACAGTACAATAATGTTTTGTTTAAGCATGATCGAAACATAAACACACAGCTAAACAAGTCTGTAAACACAATATAATTTATACAATAAAAAATTATTTTACTTATACATTAACAATTATATAAGGTAAATATACAAACAAATGGATAATCATATACATATATATATACACATACATATATACATACATATACACACACACATACACACACACATTCACGCGCACGCACGAACGCGGGATCGCACGCACGCACGCACTAACGCACGCACACATACCACAGTGTACATATTACGTTCATATATATGTTACAACATCATGATTCACCATCATATCAGCCGTTAGTCGTCCATAGCTGGACATGGACACACTTGGTAGGCGAGTGTGCAACCACAATTAGGTAGGAAGGAAAGGGATTGTTAGTAATGAGGTCTAATAGCCCTATTGCTACCAGAGGGAAACTTTGTACAAAAGTCGATTGCTTGGGTACCTCTGTCTGTTTCAACCGTAAAGCAGTTGTGTTTGCATGGCTGCGTTTCGGTTTGAAGGGTGGAATATACAGTCTTAGAAATATTAACAAAGGCCACGTAGTAGTAAGTTTGGCACCTATTTAATTGTCTTAAGGGATGTAGGCATAGCAAAAATTTATATTTTATAAAAATACTTGAACTAATATTTATGTTTATGTATTTATAAATATTTTGCATTCTGAAGAAAACGACAGTTTTATTTGGTACGAAATAGATGCGGTACTAACACGGGAGTAAACATTATGTATTGCAAAGAGAATTGTCAAATCCAGTTTACAATTGATAATGTAAACATAAAAAAATCATACAATTTGAGAGCTTTTATATTTTGAAAAATATATCAACGCATCAAATATGGAGGCATGGTTTTATATCATTACACCTCTGACATCACACTGACGTTAAAATACCCATTTGACAGTCATTGGGAATTCAATACACAGCACATTCGGTATTTTGAGAGGTCATTCGCATTCTGCCATGCCGGTATTATACAATCGGATTGTTATATCCAGAGCCGAATCTGGATTTTAGTTCAATGTCAACCATTCTGCAAATTCTAAGCATTACCGTATTAAAATCTTTCTTATTACCAAGCAAAAATTGTTACCACGTGTTATGTCGTTTGCCGTGTGGTCCTGGCATATAATAGGCCACCTTTTCCTTTCCCGTAGATGTCTTAAGAGGCGACTAAGGGAGGGCGAGGAATGGGCATCAGCGTCCCACTTAAAACATCTCCAAAGCCTAACTGCGATTGCCAATCTGCCTGCCAAGCGTGGCATCTAGTGGCAAAACCTCACAA